ATATATATATACTAGTAGGGTACCCGTGCGATGCGGCGGCGGAAAATACTTTATTCGGCGATTAATGTCCAACGATAATTTGTTTAGGTTTAAAAATATGAATTATTGTTTTATCTTAAAGAATTAAAAGTCCATAATTTTTCTTTTTAATGTTTGAACTTAACGACATTATATTCATTAACGAACATATCTATTGGTTAAATATTATAATTAATTTCTTTTAGTTAGGCGTCGAACAATATTCTCTTGGTGAATCGTGTTCTTTAAACGATTAGTTTTATACGAAAACTTTTCACATTACAAAAATCAGAGAATGCATCGATATATATCATTAACATTTAAATACATATAAATAGAATTTGAACGTAATTTTATTTTACATATCACGTAAAACTTCTCGATACACCACGTTTGATGTGTAAACTCCAGCTTGATTAAAATCTTTAGTAGGCTTCACTAGGACTTTTGTATTTTAGCGTGATATTCCTCTTGAGAGCGCCACGTAAAGTTGTCCATGCAAGAATACTGATTCGGGTAGAAAAACACCCACATTTGGAATTGTTTGGCCTTGAGCTTTATTGATTGTCATAGCAAAGCTAAGTCGAACCGGAAACTATTTTCTTTTTAGTTTGAATGGAAACATATCATCCGCAGATGGACAAAGAGGGATTCTTGGCAAAAATACTCTTTTTCCAGCATGATGACCAACTGCTATTTCTGCATCGATGACGTTCATTTGAAAACCTTTGCATATCAATCTTGTTCGATTACATAACCCATTCGAAGGATCAATATTCCGTAATAATATTATAGGGCATCCAACTTTAAGTCTAAGGTAGTGAGGGGGCAAACCACTAACATTTAGAGAGTTTAAGAATTCCATCGGATAGAAGTTATTCTTATCGTCTTCTGCTTCATCTAAACTGTAGTACACCTTTTCGTCTCCACGGAACCTATCGATCAGTTGGACATTAATTTCGTCGACATTTTCATTTTTAGTTGATAATATTGCCCTGGAAATAATATAATCTGAGAAACCTCCATTGATTTGCAAAGAAGGAAAATTTGCATTAATCAAATCATCTTTCGATTTAGCTTGATCAATGTAAGGAATACACATGTCATCAGGTATTCGAATAAAACTTCCATCGATAGCTTCTTCATCACCATCACCAACTCGTATTAAGAAATTTGAAAACCATGGATCAACCAATGCCCTTATGTTTATAGTTAACCATATCTTTTTAATCAAAGACCAAAGAGGTGACATCCGCAGGCTGGAGTCTACAATTTGTGCCCGAGTGCCACGTCGAATGACTGGCAACACTTGTCTAAAATCACCTCCTAAGACCATTATCTTTCCACCAAAAGGGAAGCTCACCTTTGTAATGTCTTGCATCGTTCGATCCACCGCTTCCACTTCATGCCTATGCGCCATCGATGATTCATCTCATATGATTATATTGGCCAAACGAAGTAGTTGTGCAGCCCCACTCTGTTGGTTGATATTACACAATGAGTTATTATCAAGATTTATCAGAATCTTAAAACGCGAGTGAGCTGTTCTCCCTCCAGGCATATTATTAGTAGCAGCACCAGATGTAGCAGTCGAAAGTGCAATAAGACCACGAGAACGAACCTCGGCAAGTAATGCTTTGTACAAAAATGTTTTTCCAGTTCCACCAGGACCATCTATAAAGAACACACCTGGTATATTATGATCTACATGCCTCATGATCTCATCATATGCAGTTCTTTGATCGCGATTAAGAGAATCTTTAGCACAAATGTGTTCATCTTCAACAACAATAGAGTACTCCTCTTGAACCTCACGATATCCTCTAGATTCCAAGTTGATGTTTGTATTTACCCTAGGAAGATCAAAGTCACCAAGATCCTTACCCATAGATTGCAAATATATAGCAATATCCGCAAGAACCATAGTTTGAACTCGTTCAACACTTTCACATTGTTGCCTGTAATCTTCAGAAAGTGAATTATAGTGGCTATCACATAACTTACGAACATCTCCGGGGTCACAATAAATCAATATAGTAGCAAATAACCTTCTTAGAGCCCCAGGAAATTGAAATAATGAGGCCTCTGTAAGACATTCTGATAGATTATCATCGTTCTCTATTAATCCTCTCTAAATGGCAGCTTTACGAAATGTCGGGTGTAATATGTTGTTCACCTTGTAAAGATCTTCAAAGCATGTTGGCCCTCTAACATGTGACAATAGTATTCGCATGTAGTATCGCTCTCCTTCAGCGGGGTTAGCAGAAACCAATCGGCCTCTCATTGCTCCTTTCTTTCGTTGATTCCAACAACGTTTGGTTGCATTCCATGTAAAGTATTTTGGGAATTCTTTATACAGATATTGCCTCGCTATCTCATGTTCTTTATTCGTGTCAAAAAAAAGCGGTCAACATTGAACTTCTATCTTTCTCCCTATCAATAATATTAGTCATCGTATCGTTATCTGAGAATCTAACTAACTGTTGGTTTGGGAGATGAAGATGCAAAGCCATGACAAAAGGGTGGATTTGAGAAAGTGCAAAGCTGAAAATCCGCCATATTGCGTCAGGAGGCGAGACATAACATGCATCTTGATATCTGGTGATCTCATTAACAATAGGTTATGCTCCATCTGGATCAATATGAAGAACTTGTTTGTCATGTCCCTTGTAAACATACTTAAAAGCGTATTTCACAGATTTTATACTCGAGCAAACTTCTACATTCATGTGGCAATTGAACATCATTAGCAACTTTGGATTATATGGGACCACCCACCTATTATCAAGTGTATTTCCTGGTACGTCTAACTCTATCCCATTGTTTCTCCTACGATATAACGGATATGAGTCATTTCCTTGTGTCGTCGCTTCATTAAATTGTCTGGGATATCTCCAACGACATTGTGCTGGCTCACCTTGCATACAAGGACCATGCATCATGTGTTTCACAACAATTTCATGAATTTTGGGATACTTTTTCAGGTCGCGAAGTTCTGCACACACCATCTTCTCATAATGGTATGCATTTGTCATCTTGTGTTCTGGTCTCATTATCAGGAGGAAATGCGCATGTGGCAAACCATGTTTTTGAAACTCTACCACATAAACATATGCTCGTACCATGCCAAGGATATGCTTCTTGAGAAGTTGATCCTTAAGATCTTCTAGTTTTGCACGAAACACTCTAGATACAAGGTCTGGCCGATCTTGAGCACTTTGGCCAAGTTTCAGATCATTAACAATTTCCGGCCAACTTGGATTGCATGTTAGGGTAAGGAATATATCAGGCTTTCCGTCATCTTGAACTAACGTCATTGCATCCAAGAACCATCGCCACATGTCATGTGGACCTCCAATAAAAGATGCAGGCAAGACAACCCTTTTTCCGACTCTACTTGGTTCGACCTCTCCAGCATTGACACAATCCACAATTCCTTGGTAAAGGTCCGATCTTATCTTTTTTTGGTTTAGTCTACAAAATAGCAATCGTGATGTCTCGATATTTATATAAATATCTACCACAAACTGTTGTAGCAATCTTCCCCCCAATAATATCAAATTATTATATGAACGAATCTGGAATTTGTAACAGTAATACTCACGCATCGGTACAGTATTCCTACCCTTTCTCAGGTTAGTCCCTACATGATGGGAATGTTCAAAACATATAAATTATACATAAACTTTCATCTAAATTATTCAATTTACGATAATAGAAACATACATACCTTCTACATCATCCTCAATATTTTCTTCATCAGCCATAACTTCATGAATGGACACCTCATCTCTTGCTATTTTTGCATGCCAACCGGGCTCACCATTAGGAAATAACAATGGATAAGACAAAGGATCATAACAACTTTCATAGGGTTAAATTTGTGTATTGTAGTCAGAACGCCCATACACAACAATGCTTCTTTTATATGTGGTTATATTGTCATTACCTTCTACCCAAATACTAGCAACCTACATAATTCTTTATTTTAGTATGGTGTATATTAAACATGCAAATTAGTATAATGACTTCAAACTAAGAAAAAGTAAATAAACATATCCAAACCTCAGACGTGGTAGGCCGATTGTATACCCTTTGGTCAAGATCCACCGATGCATTCAGAGTGACTCTATAGTTATCGAGAGGTCCTAGCTCACGAAGGCTTCGAAACGTTGTAACATATGGATTTGTAGCAAGAGAATTCATCAACGCTTGAATGATGCTTTTGTCAAGATTTGGCCATTGAAGTCTATGTGTAAATTCTGTTTCAGAATCATAGAAATATAATTGTAAGTATCTAGGTTTTCCATCCCGTGGTACTAACTGGTCGATTTTGTGATATATTCATCCATTGGCTCGAAATGTATATACCCCAGATTTCATATTGGCCAAATCATCATCCAAATTTACCCCCATAGATGTGAAAGAAAAGTTTGTATTGTAAGAACGTATGTTATCTCTAAACATTTTTCCTAATTCATTTTGTGATGTGAAAAGATGGTATAACTCATCAGGAATTTGAGAAGACACTAACTTTGTTTTCCCACTCATACAACAAAAGGTAGCGAATTCAAATTTGAATCGCTTTGCTCCACAATGAACACATGTATCACTTCCTTCTAAAACGCGATGTACTTCAGGGATACCTGCGAAAACAAAATGGTATGGATCCTCTGGGAGGATTCCATCTCGAATCATTGGATCGCCATGAAACTCACCACCACCTCCTACATTTACGAAATGTGAATAAAGAAAATATTTTTAAACAACAAAGTAAAAATATGGAATTGTTCATTTTAAGTAAACGATGTTAAAATAAAATATTGAAGTGAATTTAGATTAGCTACTAACCATTCGAGGTTCGGCTGATCGCTTCATAAAATAGAGGTAGTAATATGTTCGCATGACTTTGTATGTCTATTTTAGAATGAAATAATGTTAGAATGCCACAATTATAAGCAATGTAATATTTAAAAGTTTATAAATTGTATGTTTTTTACCATTGAAGCTTTGATGTGTTAACCCCGAACATATTTCGTTGTTTTCTTCTCTACGTGTAACATGATGTTGTTGAATAGTCTCTTCGGTAGTTGACAAACCTTCAATGTTTCCTTGGTGAATATTTTCAAGCATCCTCTTCTTCTCTTTACTTCGCTTATAATAATTTCGATTAGTATCTTTCCTATTTTGAGCAACTTTATTTGCACCATGCGGTATAGTATTTTCCTTATCCACGACTGGAGTGTCTTGTGATGTTGAAGCCTCATTTGTAAATGACCTCATTTCACGGCTAAAGTACCATCGATTTTGCAAGTTTTCAAATGGTACTCTTTCCAATTGTTGTCTACTTGTTGGAGTTATTATTTCTTCAGTGAAGTTAGTGGTAAGTACTTATGATAGACTTGTTCCTTCACCATCACCTAACTTTCCAAGTTTTTCCTTTTTTCGTGCGTAATATCCTTGATTAACTTTTTTTCGTTTTTCAGCAAGAGTTAGTTTGGGATGCAACGCCACTAACAACTTTTTGCTTTTTGTTTTTCTCATTATGTGTTGTATAATACTTTTTATTGTATCTTAATTTTTCTTCGTTCTGCAATAATTTTTATAATAAAGTGTTTCTTACAAGTGTCTTAGCTCAAATAAATAAACTAAACATATAATTACATTTATATATATCACACATACCCTTTTCAATATCTATACAGATTTGGGTCAAATTGCCATTTTCATTTTCATTATCTTCAGTCCTCATTTCACTATCTTCATTCGTCATTCCACGCTATAAAATTACAAAATATGAAAAACAACGTATTATATTTTAATCTTTCAATACATAAATTTACTCAACACTTGAATACACAAAAATCAAGAATATGTATGACTACAATAAAGTTTGAACAATACTTCAATTTGTTCATCTACAAAGTCTTTCAACATGTTCGACACTTAAATAAGGCTCAAAAATATATATATTACTACCAATGATAGTCCAGTACTTCATTCATTCGTCTATAAATACTTAAACATACAAAATAAAAATAAATAAACTATTCATCCATATATATTCCTAATAGTTTCTGCTTCTGGCATATCCGGATGAAAAGTAACCCTCGAAATGTTTGTAGAAGATAGATAATTTGTTGAAATGTTTTTGTACATTAATCCATCAATTAACATAATAAAACTAGTTAACTTGTTTAATAATTGAAAATAATTATTTTAAACTTACTTCCACCTCGTCCATTGAGTTTCACATTAGATACGTATATGATCCAATTGCTTTTAATTGCATGGACGACGTTATAAGGTAATGACGCAGGAGCAAGATACAAAATCCGGTTAATTACAAAGCCCCTGTTCAAATTTGGAAGAAATATTGTAACAACAACAACAACAACAACAATAATAATAATAATAATAATAATAATAATAATAATATGAAAACTTACGACTGGTCTTGAAGAACTATTTCGCACGCGCAATCAAATCGTAGAAGGCCTCCGGTAATAACTTTTCCAGCAACATCTATTAAACAAACTTAGATATTTTAGACATATAGATTAAATATTAAATAGTAATATAATGTGAATTTACCAATTAATCTTCGTTGATGATAATTTCTTACAAGACTTTCAATGGAAGCAACCATAGGATAAATCGGAAATGGGTTTTCAACACCCGGTTCAAGATAAGTAAACTGTGTATATTGATTGATAGCTATTATCCACTCATCATCATCAATGATGTATCATTCATACCGCGGGTAGTCATTGTGAGTCCATTCGACTTTAAAATGGTTTATAGAATATAAATTTCCAGTCATACATCTCCTTTCATATAATTCCATCAAATAGCTAGGCACAATAGCCACCATTTTCTGTCTCTAAA